TATTTGTGGGCGAACGCGGCAGCCAATTGCGCACAGCAATGTCCCACAAACAGTCGTAGATTGAAAATGACCAATTTTGATTGTTTTGTTTTGGAGGGATTATTATTAGGTGTGTGGAGTAAGGAAACTTGCCCAAGGTTTCGCCCTGCCTGGAATTGAACTCAGGTCTCTCACTTGCAAACCACTGAACTGCAGGACTCCTTGTGAAATAGTTGCACACCTTCTGTTCTAACAGTGGAAATAACATGGAACTAATTATAAAATGAAGGATTTGATAGTAACACCAACCAGTTTATAAAGTTGTGTAAAAGGCTCAATGTCACATGACTTTTCCTTGCAGAGGAAACCCATTGTTTGTATTGATTTATTACAGTAATTTGCACAGGGAGGAATCCTACAATTTCAACCCGTGGATCAGGATGAGTGAACATCTGTACTGTACAGGGGAATTGGGGACAGGCAGAGCGGATTGAAGGATGGGACTGTAGGTTTAATTCTTCTATTGGCCCACTAGTCCCTTAGTGCAGTACCAGCCAGAGTTCATTGTAGCTGTTCATTCTCACTTTCAGCTACTGGCTCAGTCAAAGCAATACTCCCTGATCCTTTGAGAAGTCACTGCTCAGACTCCCACTGCTGATGTGCAATCAATTGACACCCTTTTGCAGGTTGCCTTTCATTCTGTTTTCCAGTGAGTTCCAGAGCTAGACATTTTGCTAGAATAGTAAGCATTTGCCTACATAATAGTCTCCACTTTACAGTGACGAGCTTTGACACAAAAGGTACTACACCGAATGCAAAATGATTATTATTTATCTTGTCAAAATACCCATCCTCCCATTATAACATCAAGTTGTATTTCAAAAGAGTCCAGAATCAATTTTGGTAACGGTTTTCATTAGACACTTTGACTAGTGCAGCAATCTGCTTTCTGGTACAATAAACCTGACATAAGTTTTATCAGTTGGGTCCATACATTTAGGCAAAGTATGAATTGTGTGAAACTCACATATGTGACTTATGTGAAGTTATGTATAAGTTGGATTTTACATGACTTAACCATAACACATACATAAGTACTGAACTGGCTGGTGACATCTTGGGCAGATGTATGACTTAGGTAATTATATGATTTATACAGATCAAACGTGAGTTTTACTGTACCTTTTAATTCACTTCTTACTGCTCACTGTCATTCTGCCACTGTTCAGATCGTGCAGAAGCATAAGATTGTGAATTATGTCCAGATTTAGCTGACTGTGGTAGGGCGTTTGATCCTAGAATTGTCAGGACTTCAAAGCCAGCCTCTGGCCACAGGTGTAATCAAATAGCTTCTCTGAAGACTCTGCTATTAATCCTATATTAATCCTACATTTGATTTAGCGCCTTCCACATCAGGAGGAGATTCCAGCTGTGGCTGAGTGAGATGTTCTGGGTGGATGCACACTAATGTGTAGAAAACTGAACGCATGTGTTTGTCGTATAATGTTATGAACAAGGCAGCTTGCGACTGGCTCTTTAGTAACATTATTAAATGGCCTGCTACCCGTGTTTACCGCAGCTGGTGTGAACCAACAACAGCTTGCATTAACATTGTGCCCTTCATGTGGGGTTGTGTCATTGAACAAAGGATGGACAATCACATAGATTGATGTAAAGCAAGGGGACGGAAAGTGAAAGAGGAAAGTCTTCAGGCTCGATTTGAAGACTGGTAAAGAGGGTGAAATGTGGAGGGATTGTTGCAGGGACAAACCTGCTCTTATAAATGCACCAACTCCCCCAGGTGCCTTTAAAACTCCAGTGTGATAAGCCATTTACACCACACATTGGATAGCATGTCACCATTGTGCAGGGAATATAAATGCAGAATTAAAAGCATTCTAGTGATCCACAAGTGCTGGAGACTATACCCAGTGTAAATGTGCCATCTAGGGGATATTTGAGTCAGTAACAGTGTTCAGCTTTAAAGACCTTGTTAATCCAATAGTGTATACCGTATATTCATTACGGTGTTCATTAAAGCTCCATAATGTCAACGTTTCTGTAGTGATATTTGTAAGTGAACGCGGCAGCCAATTTGTTGACACCAATGTCTCAGAAACAGCCATGAAGGCAAGTGACAATTTTTATCTGTACGATTGTTGTCCAGGACACCAAGAAATAATTCTCCCTTCTCTTTCCGAATGGTGCCAAATAGCTCCTTAAAAAGTCATCTGACTGGGGATGCCTTCTGATAGCTGGATATATGTTTTGTGCATTCTTTGAAGTTCAGAACTAACAAGTAATATAATAATAATCCTTGCATTTGATATAGCTCTTTATCACATCATTGAGACATCTCAAAACGCTTCACAGAATAATCCTTGCTTTTGATATAACTCCTTATCAAGTCTTCGAGACGTCTCAAAGCGCTTCAAGGAATATGTTGTAAAATGGATTGACTGTGGGCAAAATAATAATATCATTATACCTGGAGGCAACAATGTCTCCTATATGCAATGCACTTCCTAGCCTCTGGCAACTGATACCCTTTTCTGACTGAGATTTTCACATCACTTCCACGTCCACACCTTTCCATGGACAGCAAGGGAGGTCCAAGAGCTGGAAATTAATCCTGGGAGTCCCACTATTTTAATTGGATTGGTACGCTACATTACATGGCATTATTATATCTAAAAACGAGCAAACTATAGGGGCATGGGGAAAGGGCAGGTAAATAAGACTGACAGGCTTGCTCTTTAAAAGTTTACATCACTGGGTGTCGTTTGATCATCGTATCTACAACACCCCCTCCCGCCCCCTCCTACTGAGCTACCAACTACAAACCCATTGCCGTTTCCTGAACCTTCTAACATCTTTGCCCTCAGTTGTTCATCCAATTAATTTCGATCTTGCCACCTTGCAGAGTTGGTTCGCTCAGCTTTCTGCACACTGTTTCTCAAGACAATTTTACATAGGAGAATGTCCCTTTAAACATTGATGGAATACTATTTCCCTTCTGCTCTAATCTCACACTGCCTATCCTACTTCTATCAGATAATATGTTTTTAAAAACATACAGTATGATTCATGCCTTGTATTTTTTCTTACAAGAGACTCTTGGATTTCATTATATGGATAAAGCCTCCTGTTTCTGCCCACTTACCTCTCCTACCCTGATGATAAATCCAGCTTGAATTTCAGCCCATGCATAGGATCTGCACATTGATAATGAAACCTGCTTGTGGCAGAGGGCATCAGCAGCTGAGTAACACTGGGATTCAGGGCTGTAAACCCGGGCTTCAGCACACGTCAGTGGTGAGGCTGCCTTACTAATTCTTCTCTACTTTCGCTCACAAAATACACAGTCAATTCACTTCACAATATATTCTGTGAATCACTTTGAGACGTCTCAATGACGTGATAAGGCGCTATATCAAATGCAAGGATTATTATTATTTCACAATTCATGTATTTTGGAAAACTGCAGACAGATAATTCTCATCATCTCCAGTTTGACTCTAGACTTGGCTACTTAGCCATAGGTCCTTCTGAGCCACAAGGGGGAACTGTGACTAGGTGGAGATCGTATCTTGCGTTGCAGAGGCCTGCTGCCCTATCCTGGTACATGTGCTCGGTGGAGGTTGGGCGGGGCATGCTCAAAGTCCGACAAGTTGTACGTTAAGCAGAGTGACAACTAAAGCAAAGTCCCTTATTAATATTTTTCATTGTAAGAGGACGGGTTATTGACAGCATGGCTATTTAAGTGGTGGTGACTAGTTAAGGCAGGGACTTGTTATCAGTTTACTGTAATCGACTACTTTCCTCTTGAAACCCACAATAGACTCCGCCTCTACCACCTTAGTGGGAAGGGCATTCCACATCCCAATGACTCTCTTTTGACCAAAGACATAGTCAGAGATATTGGGTCTTTAAGATGGTTTTTGAAAGCAGGGGAAAAAAGGAGCAGCTCAATGGGGTTTGTAGAGAGAATTTGAGGGAACAGAGATATAGTGAGAGGCTTGGCCACCAATAGTAGGGTAGAGGGATTAAGGAAACAAGCAGAGTGGGAATAGTGGAGAGCACAGGTGTAAGGTATCTGCTCTATCATCTGCAAAGCAATCTTCAACAAGTCCTGCTCAACCTGGCTCAGATTCTGGGGTAATAGTGGAAGTAAAACCACGAGTACATGAGCTAGAGCTGCCCATTGACAGGTAGATCACCCTGTACTGCATATCCAATTTATGTTTAAGCAACACAATGGTTATATAGACAATAGAAGAGACTGTGCCTTTGTTGGCTTTTGAGGGCTTGCTTTTTAGGATGCTTGCAGCAAATCCTGTGAGATGTCCTTCCAATATGAGGTGTTATAAAAAATGCACAGATTATTATTAATAACAACAACAAAATTACATTTATAGAGCGTCTTTCATGTCGGGAGGACGTCCCAAAGCGCTGAACACTCAGATGTTGGGGCCCGAGCATGGGGGAGGGGTGGTGTAGGGGTGAGGGAAGGCAGAGAGGTGGGAGGAAGACCAAAGGCACGGTCGAAGAGAAGGGTCTTGAGACCGGCCTTGAAAGTTGTAAGGGAGGAAGCAAGGCAAAGGGATCGTGGGATTGAGTTCCAGAGTGTGGGGGCAGAGAGGCTGAAAGCCCGGCCACCGATGGTAGGACGGGTCGCGCAGGAGACATGGAGCAGGCCGGCGCCCGATGAATGGAGGGAGCGGGCAGGTTGGAAGGGCGTCAGCAGGTCAGAGAGAGGTAGGAAGGTGCAAGGCCATGGATGGACTTAAGGTGAGGACGAGGATCTTGAACTTGATCCTCTGGGGGATGTGGAGCCAGTGTAGTTGGGCGAGGGTGGGAGTGATGGGGTCGGTGCGTGAGAGTACACAAGCTGCAGAGATTTGGATGATCTGCAGCTTGTGAAGGGAAGCATTCAGAAGGCCGATAATTTTTAAAATAATTTTACTTCCATTACTATACTGCTGCACAGGTTTCTAAAATATTAAAACAAACGGCTAAGTAAGTTTATAAAGCACTTTATAAAGGCAATCAATCAATCAATCAATCAATCTCTAATACAATTTAAAGATAACTCTCATTTAAATTGGTCTACGATTCGCAACCTGAGGCAGGTGACAGGCACAAAAACTAGGCTTGGATTAAACCTGACTGCAAGTGTTCTTTGCAGGATCTTATTATGCGACACCTCTCAAATAAAATAAAAGCACTTTCCACTCAAATCCTGAAAATGTTCTCCCCCCACTGCCAATCCTCTCTAGGCTTTTAACCTGCTACGTGTCCTCCCATTGGATCTTCTAGGCACATGTTTTAATTCAGATTAAATCCAACAGTCACCCGTTTTACATCTAAGTTGAAATATTTGTGTAACGCATGTAGTTTTTGCCCGACGGCAGCTCCTTGGTGGAAACTCCTTTTGGAAACATCTTGGTAGCTTCCTCCATGGGAATGCTGGGGAGAACCATGCACATGTCACCTTGCTGTTACATAGAAAGAAGTGAGAGATCAGGGAAAGCTGACAACAAGCAGACAAAACAAAACAGACTCTTGAACAATTATAGTAGTGCAGAGCATAGTTATAATGCAGTTGGGAAAGGGGGTCATAAATCCTAAGCAGCACTATAATGGAGCAAGTCTTCCTCCGCACACATACAGTGAACATGGAAAACAACACTTACGCTTGGGTGCTGAAAGATCAGGCCTTCAAAACCCGTAGGAAGGCGAATGGGCAACATCTGGGGCACAAAGTCACCACAGATGTTACTTCCTGCTCGTTGCTCTATGTGCAGGCAACAAAACATCACCCTGACTTCAGAGTCACTGCCTGCACATAGCACAGTGTACAGGAAGTGATAGCCATGGTGACCTTGTGACAAAGAAGTCAGTCATATTTAAAGTTCAAAACATTAAATCATTTTAAAAAAAAATTCCTCAATTTGGAGGAAAATGGAAAACCTGATAAATAGCATTACCGATTTAAAATCAGAAACCAGTACACATGCTTACAACTCACAACTACAGCAGTTCTAAACCAAACAAAGCAAGCAAGGAATAAAGCTCTTTAAAAAGCTTTTCAGCTCCGAGACATTGCAGGCTATGATGTGCTTCATTAGATTCAAGGATTATGTACAGCCCAGTAACTAAAAAGGAAAGACTACTTTCTGCTGCATTCAGTTTCTAAACGGTGAACCATAGAATCTTACAGCATAGAGGAAGGCCATTTGGTCAACTGTGTCTGTGCTCACTCTTTCGAAGAGTAATCTATTCAGTCCCATTTACCTGCTCTTTCCCCATAACACTGCAGTTTACTCCTTTTTAGTTATTTATCTAGTTCTTTTTTGAGAGCTCCTTTGGTAAATTGAAGTTGATTGTCACCAATTCACTGACGAGAGGAAATAACTATGACTATACTATACAGCTCTCACATTTTTTTCTAAAGTTTGGTAACCAAACAACACTGATAATAAACCCTCAAGAAAAAAAACAATAATAAATTGGTCACTTCAATCCACGACTGTTTGTGGGACACTGCTGTGCGCAATTAGCTGCCGCATTTCGCCCACAAATATACAGTCAATTCACTTTACAGTATATTCTGTGAAGTGCTTTGAGACGTCTAGAAGACGTGAAAAGCGCTAAAGCAAATGCAAGGATTATTATTATTAACTGTCGTCTAGCATCTCCTACAAAATAGTAGTTGCCACACTTTACAGTGAAGTACGTTAATAATAAGAATAATCCTTGCATTTGATATAGCGCCTTACCACATCTTTGAGACGTCTCAAAGCGCTTCATAGAATATACCGTAAAGTGAATTGACTGTATATTTTGTGGGCAAAATGCGGCAGCCAATTGTGCACAGCAGTGTCCCAAGTCATGGAGTGAAGTGATCAATTTATTCTTATTTTTTTGGAAGGAATTATTACCACCGGAAAAGTGATCTGCCAATCGACTAATAATGGCAGTATGCTCCTACTTACTGCTAGGTAAACAGAGGCGTGTGGAATAAGAAAATTTGCCCAACATTTTGCCTCGCCAGGGATCAAACCCACGTCTCTCACTTGTGAGGCGAGTGCTCTAACCACTGAGCTGCAGGACTCCACATTGAGATGTGCTCTCAACATGAAAAGTATCAATAATATGCAAAAATCATTTAATACAACTATTATAGATTATTATATTATATATTATTATTATAGATTATTATTATACATATTATTATATATTATTATATATATATTATAGATCTGTGGTTTTATATTCCATATTTATATTCAAATTAATCAGTTTGTCAACTTGCCCTCCCGAATGTATGATAACCCCTAAGTCTCTCTCTTCTTCAATATCTCTTAAAATTTACCATTTACTTCCTCTACTTACTTTTCCTCATTACATTTCTTCAAGTTATCTACTTGTCTGCCTTCTCTCCACTTGGCAGGCACTGGCATACTTCATGCCCACCCCACCGCCCCTAGTCACGCATTCAGACTTTCTGCCCTACTCACTGGAACTCTGTCTCATGTGCCTTCAGTCACCCTCCTGAATCCTACCTCCAGCTCAGGTACAAACCTTCGACTGTCCAGCACCTTGGGACTTTCTCCTGATGTAAAAGGCTTTGCACTGTATAAGCAATTTGTTTTTGTCAAAAGACAGAACCTGTTCCAAATTCCCCACCCTTTGGTTCTTGGTGCCAGGAATCTCCCTAATTTACTTAATAAGGAGGAAGTTTGAGAGCACAACTTGATTTCCGGGTGAGCGAATGTCAGCCACCCATTGGTGAAGTCCCACCTCAGGGGGAGGAGAGAATGCTAACACCTCCCAAGGTAAACATCCCATGAATTTCAGTGCTGCCAAAAAGGCAAGACCATACAATGAACAGGAGTAACCTGATACAAGTGCAATTTCAGTTCCTGGCAGTTTATCCTCACCTTCCAGTTTACAGGTGTTGCAACCTTCTTGGTATCGGTCAGCTGCAGGGAGTCAATGACTCTCAGAATCTCATCGAAGTTCCTACCAGTAGTGGCCGGGTAAAGGATAGAGAGTTTCAGCTTCTTATCAGGGCCAATTATAAACACCTTAGAGGGCAGAAGAGAAAAACAGACTTAAAGGAATGATGAGGCATAATGTTACTCGAACAATGGAACTTTTGAAAAATCAGCGAAAGAAACCAAGGGGACAAGCAAGATGATTATCGGGAGAATATAGAGTGGAACTATTTAGCTCACAGTCTAGCAGCAGCAGCAGCAGCAACATAATAACATTACAAAGATCCCATTGTACTACTCAAAACAAACATTCAAAGTGTGAATGTTATATTTCAGTTTTGGCAACATGAGGAGGAAATAAGCAATGAGCCTCGATACACAATCTGATTCATATTGTGGTGAAACTTACAGCCCGAGCAGTCACTGGTAGTCCCTCCTTGTTCTTTTCATCAAGATCTAACATGCCTAGTTTCACAGCCAAATCCCTGTTCTTATCGGCAATGATGGGGAATGGCAGCTTCTCAGGCTTTGAATCATTGTAGCTGTTGATATCCTATAATGGAAAAACAAAACCTAGAAATTACAGCATTGAAATAGAACATTTGACCCAGGGAACCTAAGCCTTTTCCTAGCTCTTTCCCCCTACCCATTAGCTTGTCTTCAGATACTTGTTTAATTCCCTTTTGAATGTAATGGTCTTAGCTTCAATAGGCGCAGGTTCAATAGCTGCAGGATATGAGCTGGCCTTGTGAGGCCATTTACCATCTGATGCCCACCCCCCCACACACATCCAACAAAGAAAAACAGCATTAACCTAACCAAGTCTGCTGACAGGTCACAGGTCAATACCTCTCTACAAGTACCTTACTGTACCCACGTTACAAATTTATTTTGGGTTGGCAAAAAAACTCTAAACGTCATCATTCTTAGGCCAGCCCTTAAAATATTATGCTAAGCCAGACACTCACTCTTCTGGCTGGAGTACTTGCTTCCTTTGAAAAGAAGGCTGTTGTTCGAAGAACTGATTAAAATCGCAGAAATCAGTGTGACAGCTTCAAAATAAAACCATCGCGTGAGCTTGCCCGTCAATATGCTTAACACCATTCGTACCTTGCTCCAGCCAATGTGATCCTCAATGCTGTCAATTGACAGAGCGATCATTTTCACATTGCGTTTCTTAAACTCGTCACTCATCTTCGCTGCTCGGCCCAGTTCAGTGGTGCAGACCGGAGTGTAGTCGGCCGGGTGAGAGAACAGAATTCCCCATCTGAAGGAGGAATGAGAATTGTGAGAAACCAAGTGTAGTTTTATTTTAAAAAGCAAGCCACGCACACGTAGATGAGCCAGCACTGATGGCATCCTGAGGCTGTAAGTTAAAAATCCTTACATTTGATATAGCACCTTATCACGTCATCGAGGCATCTCAAAGTGTTTCACAGGATATTCTGTAAAGTGGTTTGACTATATTTTGTGGGTGAAACACGGCTGCCAGTTATGCACACAGCAATGTCCCACAAACAGCCATGACCATTTTTATTTGGGGGAATGTTGGACATTTCTCGGATTCTAGGTAACTAAGTAACAATGATTCCTGTATTTAGGTATGAAATTAGAAAAGTTGCACTGAAATGTCAGTAACTTAATCCTGGGATGCAAGTTTTGCATTTGTTTCTTATCAACAGATAAATTATTCCTGCATCCGTGTCCAATTCATAAAGATCTAACTGATCTTTATGGAATCTATTAGTGAATGCTGCAACAACAGTGGAAATCCACCTTTAGGTCAAACCATGAATGTGGTCAACGCAGACCATGTGTGACTTTACTCACGAGTTTCCACTGTAAACAGAACTTGTAAATAAAGTCAATTTACAAAATGCATCTGAGAGGAATATTTTTACAAGTGGAGGATTGTGTGAAGAGATGTAGATCAGCCACTATTAATAACCTAATAATTATAATTAAAAATTAATTTAGCATCCCTCACATCAGGAGTATGTCTCAAAGAGCTTCACAGGATATACTATGCATTTTGTGGATCTCTGTGGCAGTCAATTTGTGCAGAGCAATGTCCGCAAACAGACACAAAGTGAATGATTAACTTTTAACTTGGGACATTGCTGTGTGCAACTGGCATTTCGCCCATAAAATACAGTCAATCCACTTTATAGTATATCCTGTGAAGCGCTTTGAGACATCTCAGTGATGTGATAAGATGCAATTATGAATTATTTATCTTATTATGTGGCATCCAATTTGTGCAGAGCAATGTCCCACAAATGGGCATGAAGAGGGGGCTGGTGGCCAGGGGTCAGTCGGGTTTCTATTCTCAGACATTGTTCATATTGTACAACTGAGGTCAAACTCTCTGAAGAAAAGTGTACAAACTGCAGATTACTCCAGTGACCCACAGATCATTCCCAGGAACACACAGATCTAACGCAAGAGACAAGTAGAACAAACAACCACTCAAAGTTGAGTTTTTTTTAAAAAAATTGAGCATCACCTTCTGCTGCATCAGGAGAGATGCGTATTTTTTTAAAAAACTCATTAAACATATAGTATTGCTCTTAAAGGAACTGGCAAAGACATGATGGGCCGAATGGCTTTCTCCGGCATTGTTAACTTTCTATGTTTCTGGCTGTTATTAAAATCTACACATGTTTGGGTTACAATTTAATCAACACAATAATAATAATACTTGCATTTGATATGGCGCCTTTTCACATCTTTGAGACGTCTCAAAGCGCTTCAGAACATATACTGTAAAGTGAAATGACTGCATATTTTGTGGGTGAGACGCGGCAGCCAATTATGTGCAGCAACGTCCTACAGTTATGGACTGAGTGACCATAATCATTATTTTAAAAAACTTTTTTTTAGGGGATAATTATCACAACTAAACCAGTGGGGGTGTTTGGTTAGCGTAGAGAGAAGGGGAATTCCACATGCTACCAGGCCAGGATTCTTGTACAAAACAACAAGTTTCGCCCACAAAAATATACAGTCAATTCGCTTTTACAGTATATTCCGTGAGGCGCTTTGAGACGTCTCGAAGACGTGATAAGGCGTTGGATCAAATGCAAGGATTATCATCATCATGATTATTATTATTATTATTATTATTATCCTCTTGTGGTCAAAATGTGGGAGAAATAGCTCAGGAATTCTGTAATAACCCTACACGCTGGAGAGAAGTGCATCGATCGCCCAGTTACAATGACACTGCATAAACAAGGGACCCATCTCAAAAAAAGGAAATTATTTTGCAAAGTGGGAGGGGGGAGGGGATGCTTTGTCTCACACACACACACACAAAAATGACGAGGAATATTTGCTATAATCCCCAAATCCCAGACGTTATCAGGTCCCCCCCAGTCCCCAGTCAGTCATGTGCAGAGTCTCTGTGTGTGTGTGCGCGCTGTGCTGTGTGTGCACTGTGTGCCATGTGTGTGTGTGCACTGTGTGCTATGTGTGTGTGTGCACTGTGTGCTATGTGTGTGTGTGCACTTTGTGCTATGTGTGTGTGCACTGTGTGTGTGTGTGCACTGTGTGCTGTGTGTGTGTGTGCACTGTGTGTGTGTGTGCACTGTGTGCTATGTATGTGTGTGTACTGTGTGTGTGTGTGTGTGTGTGTGCTATGTGTGAGTGTGTGTGCACTGTGCGGTGTGTGTGCACTGTGTGTTATGTGTGTGTGTGTGTGCACTGTGTGTATGTGTGTGTGCACTGTGCTGTGTGTGTGTGCACTGTGTGCTGTATGTGTGTGTGCAGTGTGTATGCACTGTGTGTGCTGTGTGTGTACTGTGTGCTGTGTGTGTGCTGTGTATGTGTGTGTACTGTGTGCTGTGTATGTACTGTGTGTGTGCTGTGTGTGTACTGTGTGCTGTGTGTGTGTGTGTGTACTGTGTGCTGTGTGTGTGTGTATGTACTGTGTGTGTGCTGTGTGTGTGTGTATGTACTGTGTGTGTACTGTGTGCTGTGTGTGTGCTGTGTGTCGCGGCCGCAGCGTAACTTACGCACTCCCCAACCATTCGTGAAACCGTATCGTTCCCTCCGTCGTCTCAGCCTCGAAATCTGGGAACCTCTGTCCGAGCAGAATCGCTGTGGCCATCGCTGTTGGTGGATATTTTAATTCCACACAAAAAAAAGGACGACTTCAGAGGGCAGGAAAGGAGAGAGTGAGAGAGAGAGAGAGAGAGAGGGAGACCAGACCAGACCTCTGTCTGTGTGTCTGACTGTCTGTCTGTGTGTCACCTGTTATGGAGCAGGACCTCGGGGTGGAGTCTGAGCTCAAATAAATATTCAGCGCTCTTCATTGTTTCCGCGACCCACAGCCCGAGAGGGTCATCGCTGAACACCACTCTGGGCTTTCTTTTCATTTTTAATCTTTTTATATAAAAATGTTTTCCCCTCCCAACCCCCCCCCACTAACCCCCCACCCCACTAAGCCCCCCCCCCCACTAACCCCCCCCCCCCACTAACCCCCCACCCCCACTAACCTCCCCACCCCCCCCACTAACCCCCCACCAACCTCCCCCACCCCCCACTAACCCCCCACCAACCCCCCCACCCCCCCACAACCCCCCACCAACCTCCCCCACCCCCCACTAACCCCCCCCAACCTCCCCACCCCCCCTACCCCCCACCTCCCCACCCCCCCACTAACCCCCACCACCTCCCCCCAACCTCCCCACCCCCCCCACTAACCCCCCACTAACCTCCCCACCCCACCCCCCACTAACCCCCCACCAACCCCCACCAACCCCACCCCCACCCCCCACTAACTCCCACCCCACCCCCACTAACCCCACCAACCGCCCCACCCCCCACTAACCCCCCCTACCTTCCCCACCCCACCCCCCCACTAACCCCCACCACCTCCCCCATCCCCCACAACCTCCCCACCCCCCACTAACCCCCCCCCACTAACCCCCCCACCCCCCCACTAACCTCCCCCACCCCACCCCCACTAACCCCCACCAACCTCCCCCACCCCCCACTAACCCCCCCCACTAACCTCCCCACCCCCCCACTAACCCCCCACCCCCCCCACTAATTCCCCACCACCTCCCCACCCCCCACTAACCTCCCCACCCCCCACTAACCTCCCCACCCCCCACTAACCTCCCCACCCCCCCACTAACCTCCCCACCCCCCCCCTAACCTCCCCACCCCCACTAACCTCCCCACGCCCCCCCCCCACTAACCTCCCCCACCCCCCCACTAACCTCTCCCACACACTAACCTCCCCACCCACCCCCACCCACTAACCTCCCCCACCCCTGATAATAATCCCTAAAAAAACCCAATAATAAATTGGTCATTTCAATCCACGACTGTTTGTGGGGACGCTGCTGTGCGCAATTGGCTGCCGCGTTTTGCCCACAAATACATAGTCAATTCACTTTACAGTCGAATCCGTGAAGCGCTTTGAGACGTCGAGAAAACGTGAAAAGCGCTATATCAAATGCAAGCATTATTATTATTATGATAATGCCTGTTGTGTTACAGATGTTGATTTTGCTGGTTGATGTTCATACAAAACAATTTCAAAGTGTTTACAAGTTGTCTCGTGAATATATTTAGCTACATTGTTATGTCTAGTGAGATACTCTGATTGTGCTCGTGCTGAACATGAAGACAATATGTGGTCTACTGTTTTTGGTGTTCGGTGACATATTTGTCGTTTTGGATCAATGTTTCTATTTAAGATCTTATTTTCATAATAGCAGGTTGTAATAGATTTGTCTTGTGCTGATATTATGAGAGCTTCTGTTTCAGCTTTCAGATCCCTGTTTGTCAATTAGTTGTAGCTTTCGCCCATATCTAGGCCTTGTTCTTTCATTCTTTCATCTACGACTGTGTGTGGGACACTGCTGTCCACAATTGGCTGCCAGGTTTCTCCCACAAAATATAGAGTTAATTTACTTTACAGTATATTCTGTGATGCGCTTTGAGAAGTCTCAAAGGCTTGATATGGCACTATATCAAAAGTAAGGATTATTACTTTTTCTCTTGGAAATTGACTATACATGATTTTCTTCTCCAATTAGTTTTTTCTACAAGATATTTTCTTTTTAAGGGCAATTTTCATTCCATGTGTCATTTTTTTGTTGCTTCAGATGAGGTACTTTCTCCAGCTGAGCGTCAGCAAGACCGAGGCCCTCCTGATTGGCTTACGCCAGCGCCTCTGCATCTCGGGCGCTGGCAGCATCAGCATCCACTGCTGCTCACTCAACCTCACTAAGCCAGTCAGGAACCTGGGTGTCTTGTTTGACCCTGAACTGTCCTTTCTCTCCCAAATCCGCGCCATGACCGACACTGCCTACCACCACCTCCGCAACATTGCCAGACTCCGCCACTGCTTCACCCCTCAGGCTGCTGAGACTCTCACCTACGCATTCGCTCGATTATGGAAACTCTCTCCTCATCGGCCTTCCCAACTCTTCCCTTCACAAGCTGCAGATCATCCAAAACTTTGCAGCTCGTGTACTCTCACACACCGTGACCCCATCACTCCCACCCTCGCCCGACTCCATTTGCTCCCCATCCCTCAGAGGATTGAATTCAAGATCCTCGTCCTCACTTTCAAGGCCATCCATGGCTTTGCCCCCTCCTACCTCTCTGACCTGTTGATTCCCTACCAACCTGCCCGCTCCCTCCGTTCAGCGGGCTCTGGCCTGCTCCATGTCTCCCTCCCGACGAGCCCTACCATCGGTGGCCGGGCTTTCAGCCTCTCTGCCCCCACACTCTGCAATTGCATCCCACAGTACCTTCATCTCGCGTCCTCACTTGCCTCCGTTAAGGCCAGTCTCAAGACCCTCCTCTTCGATCATGCCTTCAGTTGCCCTCCCACCTCGCTGCCTTCCCTCACCCCCACCCCTCCCCCATGCTCAGGTCCCGACCCTTGACCATCCAGCGCCTTTCATGTCCTCCCGACGTGAAAGGTGCTCCATAAATGTAATTTTGTTGTTGTACTTTGTAAATCTTTTTGATGAATGTTTGATCTTGATTGCAACTTTAATGATGTTATTTCAAATCAGATACTCTTGATTGTGCCATTTCTTTTTCTGTTTTTCATGTTTTTCTATCATTTTGATACTCTCATTGGGGTTTTTCTGATATATTTATCTAAACCTCCACTTGTTGATTTGTAAGATGTTTCAATTTCAACCAGGCCTCTTCCTCTATCAGCTTTTATATCATGTAGGCCACGAATGGTCAACAGTAATTATTATTATTAATGACATGTTATAATGTTGCAAAAATAATAAAAACACTTAATAATTGATTACAGATGAAAATCAAATATTTATTTGCTTTTTAATGTTAGATATGATAATATAATTGCAGAAATTGTGATTCCTAATTCATATCCTCTTTAAACTTCAGAGACAAGGCAAAGATTTGTCCCAAACGATTAAGTTATCTGAGAGTTCTAGCTGTTGATTAACCTCTATATACATAAGCAATCCCCGGCCTTTGTCCTAAAATTGCCCTTCATAGCCCTGTCCTCTTATCCTGCTGATGTAATGTCAGAGCTCAACCAGCTAAATCTGTGGAGTCTATTCTATAATAAGCAGTTTGTTTGCACACAGTACTGTACAGCTGCTCCTGGAAAGTAAAGCGTTTAACTAATTTGCAATATTAGCTTCTGAACTCCTGTTCAGAAGCTTCGGGTTCAAGTTCCAATTGAAGACTTGCTGGTTTGCCAAGTAACTCTTGCACAGCTGCATGGCTTCTGCTCAGCCAGGTGCTTAAACTAATTCTAGAAAGTATTACGCCCAGGTTGGCAAGTGACAAAGCTTGGGGACAGACTGTAAGTTGGGGGTGCTGCTAAAACCTCCTAGCTTGCTAATAAAGCACCGTCTGAAAACCTTCCACGTTTGTCCGGCTAGGGCCAATCTATTCGTTGGGGCTTTGGTTTGCAGAGTTAACAGGAGCTAAGTAGCCCAGTGATTAGTGTGCCCCTCCAAGTACACCCATGGTTGATCTGTCATCAGCAGTGCCCTGGAGAACTGTGAACCTGCTTGGCTCAGGAGCTGAATTATTGAAACCAGCACAGAAGGTTGACTTGATGTCAAGCATGTGAACTTGGAGCTGTCTCAGTGCCAGAAAGTCCTGCTTGCCTGACAACAATGGATGCTGACTAGTGTTCTTTGTCAGGTGGTGTTGTGCAATACCTCTCAAATAAACGGGAAGTATTTTCCACTCAGACCTTGAAAAGTTCTCCTATCCTCCTACTACCATTTCTCTCTAGACCTATAGCCAAGTTCTGTACTTTGTTCTGACTCAGTGTTCAGTTTATTCTCTGAGTCAAGTTTAATTTCATTGAGGGCACAATGTGGAAAGCTTCACTGGTTTATAAACTCTCTTTCTCCACCCTCCCTTGCAGTTAAATTCTGCATGAATGGGAGCAATGTCTATTCCATATACTGTGCATAGCGCCTTTCACATCAGGAGGACGTCCCAAGGCACTGAACAGTCAGGGACTAAAGGTTTAAAACTTTAAAAGTTATATTGCTTTATTGTAAAGCACCTTATAAAATAAGGCAATCAATCAATCTCTAATTGCAATACATGCAAGTTGAAGTTTGTCTTATCTAAATTGTTCCATGATTCGCAAACTGTAGCCGATGACAGGCACAAAATCTGAGCTGGGTTAAATCTGAATGCAAGTGTTCTTTACAGGATGCTGTTGTGCGATACCTCTCAAATAAAATGAAAGCACTTCCCACTCATCTTGAAAAGTTCTCCGCTCACTGCTATTCCTTTTTGGGCTTTTAACCTGCGACGTGTCCTCCATTGGATCTTCCAGGCACATGTTTTACTTTTGAATTCCAATACAACAGCCTGTTTTACACCTGAATTTAAATATATGTGAAACGCATGTAGTTTTTGCCCGATGGCAGCTTCATGGTGGAAACTCCTTTAGGAAACATTTTGGTAGCTTGCTCTTCGGGTATATGGGGGAGAACCATGCACTGGTCACCAAGCTGTTACACAGAAAGAGGTGAGAGATCAGCAATCAGACAAAAAACAAACTGCTGGCTAATATAGTAGTGTAGAGCACAGTTATAACGCAGTAGTTGTTGATGTTACACCTCTGGGAGGGAGGGCAGGGGGAGCGCACGTTCAGTGTTCTGTTTGAGGCAGGTGTGAGAAACCCAGTGTTTTGACTTGCCAACCAATAAGTGCGGTACCAACAAGTCTGGTAGTGGCATTACGAGTTACGCAGTGGTTATTATGACTAGTGCATATAAATTTACGTTAAATGAATAGGAAATTGAATGAGACTCGGGTGGATGTACCACTTAGGCGATTATAATGCATGCAATCGTGCGCTCAACAGATTACATGTGTCACCAACATCGCCTCCCTGAACTACAGGCCACATTCCAGCGAATCCTGGCTGAGGAGGAGGATGATCAGTCCTGCAAGATGGACAAGCTCATCAATGAGATTTATAAAGAATTTCCTGATATCCAATAGGGAGCTGACTGAAAAGTCATCTTTCCAAATCCAACCCTCAGCTCAGGTGCAAACCTTTGACTGTCCAGCACTTTGGGACATCCTCCTAATGTGAAAGGCCTATGCAATTTGTTGTGTATAGACAGAATCTGATCCAAATAAACCAGTTTAGCAGCACAACTTTCTTTCTTGGTGAGCCTATGTCAGCCAACGTTTGGTGAAGCCCCATCTCAGGGGGCATAGTTATCACCTCCCAAGCTAAACTTCCCATTCATATCTGTTCTGGCAAGAATGTAAACCGAATGGGCCGTATGCTGATAGAAGTGCTGTGGGCTGCTTCAGTCCCTGGGCAGTTTATCCTCACCTTCCAGTCTACAGGTGTTGCAACTTTCTTCGTAACAGTCAGCTGCAAGGAGTGAACGACTCTCAGCATCTCATCAAAGTTCCTACCAGTGGTGGCCGGGTAAAGGATAGAGAGTTTCAGCCTCTTATCAGGGCCAATTATAAACACCTTAAAGGATAGAAGAGAAAAAACAGACTTAATTGAATGACAGGATATACAATGTTACTCAAACAACTTTTGACAAATCAGTGCAAGAAATCAAGGGGACAAGCGATATGGTTATTGGGAGAATACAGTGTGGAAATATTTAGTTCGCAGTCTGGCAGAAGCAGACTGTAACATTACAAAGATCCCATTGACAAAAAAAGATAGTTCTCCCTTTGTCCTGGACAACAATTCCTCCAGGTACAATTGATCATTCACTTCATGGCTGTTTGCAAGACGTTGCTGTGCATAAATTGACTGTTGTGTTTGCCCGCAAAATACACAGTCACTGCATTTTACAATAGATGGTGTGAACAGCATTCAAGCGTGCAGATTGTATTTCAGGTTATGCAACATACCACAAGTTCAGTAGGAAATGGACTCTGATAAACAATATGGTTTATAGTCCTTGAAACTTACAGCCCGAACAGTCATTGGTAGCCCCGCCTTGTCTTTTGAATCAGGATCAAGCATTCCGAATTTTACAGCTAAGTTTCTCCTCTCATCAGCAATGATGGGGAATGGCAGCTTCTCTGGCATTGACTTATTGTAGAACTTGATATCCTACAATGGAAAAATAAAACGTAGATATTACAGCACCAAAATAGGCCATTTGGCTCAATTTGTCTTCAAAAGCTTGTTAATTTCTGTTTTAAATGTTACCGTCTTAGCTTCAGTAGGCGCAGGGTAAAATCTGCCGCCTGCCTCACTGATTGAGACAACAGAAAACTGCAAATAGCCTAACCAGCCCTGCTCTTAGCCCATTTCTTCAGCTAATTTACCCATCCTCTCAAGATCGCAATCTCTCCCCTCTCTCTTTCCCTCCACCCCCACACCCGCCAAGTTAAACAGTATCAACCTAACCAAATCTGCTGGCAGTTCACAAGTCAACACCTCTCTACAAGTACTACACAACAACAACTTGCATTCATATAGAGCCCCTCACGTAAGGCAGCGTCTCAGGGCGCTTAACACCCATGTTACAAATTTATCTTGGGTTAGCAAAAAAAATCCTGCTCTAAACATTATCACTCTTAGGCCAGTCCGTAAAATATTTGAAACTCGTTCTTCTGCTTTGATGGCTGCAGTACTTGCTCTCCTTTGGAGAGTTGGTTCAAATTGTAGAAGTCATTGTGACACGCCCAGAACAAAACAGACGAGTGACCTTGCCCATTAATAAGCTTCATTAATTGTATTATTTTTATTTATTATTTATTTACTATTTATTTATTATTTATTATCATTGTCTCTTGAAAATTATTAAAAAGCCTGATAATAATCCATAAAAAAAATAGGTCATTTCAATCCACGACTCTTTGTGGGACACTGCTGTGCGCAATTGGCTGCTGCATTTCGCCCACAAATATATAGTCAATTCGCTTTAGTTTATTCTGTGAAGAGCTTTGAGACATTTAGAAGACGTAAAAGGCGCTATATCAAATGCAATGATTATTATTATTAATACCATTCGTACCTTGGTCCAGTTAATGTGATCCTCAACACTGTTAACTGACAGAGCGATCATTTTCACATTGCGTTTCTCAAACTCCTTACTCATCTTCGCTGCTCGGCCCAGTTCAGTGGTACAGACCGGAGTGTAGTCTGCCGGGTGAGAGAATATAATACCCCATCTGAAGGAGGAATGTAAGAAACCAAGAGGAGTTTTACTTTAAAAAAGCAAAGCATACACACACAGCACTGTGTTGGCCTCCTGAGGCTATAACATCTAGTATTCTATATTCAGTAGATTCGTGCTCAGTTGTTAGAGCACTCACCTAGCAAGCGAGAAACCTGGGTTCGATTCCCGGCAGGGTGAAACCTTAGGCAAGTTTCCTTACTCTACACGCCTGATAATATTCCCTCAAAAAAAAACAATAATAATTTTGTCACTAAATCCACGACTGTGCGACATTGCTGTGGCCAATTGGCTGCCGCGATTCGCCCACAAACATACAGTCAATTCACTTTACAGTATATTCTGCGAAGCGCTTTGAGACATCTCGCAGACGTGAAAAGCGCTATATCAAATGCAAGGATTATTATTATTATTCAAGTCACAATGATCCTCTGTTCAGATACAGAGCCAGCAAATTTCCAGCATCTGCAATATATTGCCTTTATTTTAAAGTTACTTAAAAAAAACAATATACTGCAGACGCTAGAAATCTGAAATATAAACAGAAGTTGCTGGGAACCCACAGCAGGTCAGGCCGCATCTATGGAGAGAGGACAGTGAGGTAATGTTTTAGGTCGATGACCTTTCATCAGAACTGAGAAACCAAATGTAGTTCTGCGTGATCCCAGCGTTGTCTGTTTTTATTATGTACATAACTTAATCCTAGGAAAAACAACCTCACCATTATTTGGGAATCAAGGTTTGCATTTGTTTCTTATCAGTTAATAAGTTATTCCTGCATCCATGTCCAATTCATGAAGATCTAATTTAGAAGTATGGAAACTCACCTTGAGGCTCTGTAACAACCGTACACACCGCACAGTGATGTTACATTGCCTGGTGACCGCGACTGTGATCAGCCACTGCATTTCTATCCCCTCTCTTCCTCCACCCCCATCCCCCCAAAAATAAGGCCATAGTAGAGCAATCTGCATCCAAACACCAACATGTTGGAAGCATAACTCGAGGACACAGCCAACAGTCACTATTCTCCTCTTCCGCAGTCAGATCCATTGAGGCTGAGGCTTCACAATCAGGTCAGCCAATGCATCAGAGCTTTGGAAAATTGTGAGCCACACAGAATAATACAATCCTCAGATTTGATTTAGCGCCTTATCAAGTTGGAGGGACGTCTCAAAGTGGTTCACAAGATACAATGTAAAGTAGATTGACTGCATTAGATGGACTAAATGCACAGGCAGCTGCACACAGCAACGGCCCACAAACAGCCATGGAGTGAGTGACTGATTTTATTTGGGGGGATTGTTGCCCAAGACCACGGGAAAAACTCCCATCTCTTTTTGAATAGTACCATGGGACCTTTAACATCCACCTGTACAGGCAGATGGGGCCTCAGTTTAATATCGAATAATAATAATCCTTGCATTTGATATAGAGCCTCGTCAGGTCTTCGAGACATCTCAAAGTGCTTCACAGAATATCCTGTGAAGCGAAGTGACTGTATATTTTGTGGGCGAAACACGGCAGCCAATTTGCGCACGGCAGCGCCCCACGGACACGCGTGGATTGAGCGACCAAGTTATTAAGTTATTTGTTTATTTCCGAAAGGAATTATCACCCCCGGAAAAGCGACCAGGCAACCGACTAACAACCGGGGTTCCAGACTTACTGCCGGGTAAAAACAGGAGAAAGCAAAGCGGAAGGAAGGCGCTCGGGACACTGCAACACCCAACACCCCACCCCCAACCCCACCCCACCCCACCCCAGCACTAACACTGGGACACTGGGGGGGGGGGGGGGCAGTTTAAACTGTGTGATTCCAAGTCCAAATGTGTCCAAACAAACCCAAAAACTTATGACTGGGGGTGGGGGTGGGGTGGGGGGGAGAGAGGGAGGGGGAGCTATCCCTGACCAGACTGACACAACAGGCAGAAACCTACCCCAAAACTACCCGGAAACGGGGAATACAAACTCAAAAGAGAAATCGATCCGCACAGGAGGAGCTTTAGGTTAAATACAGTGAGAGGTCGAGAACGCAGTGCGTCCACGAAATCAGAGACCCCCCAACACACCCCCCACACTCCACCCCGAGCCCCTGTCTGTTGGGTTGAACTTACGAGCTCCCCAACCAGTCGTAAAAGTGTATCCTTCCCTCGGTCGTGTCAGCCTCGAAGTCTGGGAACTTGTCTCCCAGGAGGATCGCCATCGCTGTTGGTGCGCAATTGCGCAAATAAAAGCCATAAAAAAAAAGGAGGAACCCGGACCCGTCGCCCTGTCATTACCAGGAGGTGGGACTCACCGCCCTGGAGATAAACCAGACAGCACTCCCTTAGCCTGATTTTATCCCTAAAATACCACCCACTGCTTTACTTTTTTTATATATATATAGAGATAATTATATCCACGAATATACGTTAAAAAAATGAGCTGTTTTGCTGCTACGATCACGTAGTTTTGAGAATTGAACTGATTTCATGAAGTTCCACTCTTGGGTTTGTGATGCTATCGCAGCGCTGAGCACATCAGTCCAATTGAAGCCGTGTGCGCGCGTTTGAATGTGGCGGGTTTTGTGCCACTAAGTTGTCCCGTAAACTTTTATCATCTTGAATTGGTTTGGGGATTTTTTTTTAAATAAAAAAGCGCCTTTTTAATCGTGCGGTGTCAGTTAGGCTCAGTTGATAGCTCTCTTGCCTCTGGATTAAAAGGTTGAGGTTTCAACAACGACGACAAAACGACATTTGCACGGCAAGCCACAGATATGGACTTCGCTCATCTCTGGAAAATGCTGCAATGTTGAAGGTTGCGTCTTTTGGATGACACAAACTACGGTTCCTTCTGTGTCTGTACAGGTGGACGTAGAAGATCTCATGGCACTATTTGAAGAGAGAAGTTTGTCCTGATATCTTGGCTAACAATTCCCAGAATTTGAATTGCCGCTTATCCTGCTAAAACCACTTCTATCAGTTAGGACTTTGGCCTGCAGGGTATCTGGAGCTGAGTGTTCCACTTTTTGGGCTCCCAGTCCCAAGTGCTGTGAAGTGCTTTGAAACATCTTCCCAACGTGAAATGTGCTAACGTAGATGTAAATTGTTGTGGTTGATTGGGAAGAAACATAACCCCTCCAGGGTCTGGTTTGATCCTCCAAGACCCACCAATGAGCCAAACCTGCTGGCCCAACATCAGCAGTGCCCTGAAGTCCTGCAGATCTGCCTGGCTTTGCATTATTATCCTGTGACGGATGGAAAATTGTCCCTTAGTTTCTTCCTCCCGTTTGAAGAGCCTGAGCTCTCTTGTAGTGTATCAGCCTGGCTCAGCGGTAGCACTCTTAACTTCTGAGTCAGAAGGTTGTGGGTTCAAGTGCCGAAGTGGGACTTAACCTCACACAGTCTGAAAGCTGACACTCCATTCCAAGGCTGGGCTGGTGTTGCATTGTCAGCGGTGCGGTCCTTCAGATGAGACGTTGTAAACTGAGGTCTCGTCTGCCTATTCAGGTGGGCGTAAAAAGATCTGGCACCCGGCGAAAAGAGAAGAGAGTTTCTCCCACTGTCCTGGCCAACAAATCCCCCACTTGGCTCATGGCGGTTCACGGCAGTCTGCGGGGCATTGCTGTGCGCCGTCGCGCTGCCGGGTTTGCCTTCCAATGCACAGCCGCTCCATTCCACAGTCATTTCTGCGAAGCAATTTGAGACGGTGTTCCAACGTGATGCAGCGCCACACATACCCGAAGGATTATATTATTATTATTATATGAAGGGAGGGTAGTGGGGGGGGGGGGGAGGGGGCAGGGGGTGCTGTGGTGGGTGGGGTGGGGGGGCAGAGCTGGGTCCTCCAGCCCGCGGGGGGCCGCTGTAGGGGTTTGGAGTCAGGTCCTCCAGCCCGCAGGGGGAGGGGGGGGGCGCTGTGGGAGGAATCGGAGCCAAGTCCTCCAGCCCGCGGTGGGGGTGTAGTAAAGTTGTCGCCGCGCGTGTGGTGGTGGTGGTGGGGGGGGGGGTCGGGGGTGAGCGTTTGGCGCCGTGACATTTCGCCTCCAGATTTACCGTAGAAACATGGCGACTCACGTGAGCGAGCTGGAGGCCGCGAAAAAGACGCTGACGGAGGCCCTGGGGGAGAACGTGAAACAGTGAGTGCGGCCCCGGGGTGGGGTGAGGTGGGGGAGTGGCCGGGGGTCAGGCCGGGGGCCGGGGGTCAGGCCGGGGGCCGCGGAGCTGGGCCGCGGTTTCCATGGCGACGGGCGGGCTCCGAGTCGCCGGCTGCAGCCCGAGGCCTGCACCGCTCTGTAATAATTATACTGTTATTAAAACAAAAGCTTTTGCATTCATAGTGACCTTTATTGTTGTTGTTATTATTATTAATAACAATGATCATTAATAATCTATACTCCCCCCCCCCCCCCCCCCCCCACACACACACACACCCCATCTCAGTCCCTCTCCCTCCCCCCTCCCTCAGGAGGTTAAATCCAGGTGCTCAGGAACTTGTGAATCCCTTTTCCTTTGCTCCAGGTTCTCTTCCCCCCCCCCCCCCCCCACTCCTCTTTGCCCGCTGTGTTTGTGTTTACTTACTTACCGTCAGGGCGGGGAGTTTCTTTAATCCCCCCCCCCAACCCCCCCCCGCGCCCTCGCCAACAATTCCCCAAATAAAATTGGCCGCTCACACCGTGGCTGTTTGTGGGGACATTGCTGTGCTTGTAACCGTCTGTGGCGTTTCGCTCACAAAAATACACAGTACGTCCACTTTACACCTTCCCATACCTCGCCCGTCCTCTCCTCAAACTCCCAACTGCGAGGAGATGCTGGACTTTAGCCACCTTCGGCCACCTCAGCCCCGTCCACAGCCATCATCTCTCCCTCGTGACCCTCCCCCCCCATACTCCTTTGACCCTATCTCTCCCTCCTCCCTCAACACGTCTGTCCGCAAACTCAAGCCCACCACCTGCTCCCTCAATCCCATCCCCACCTCTCTCCTCATCTCCCAGCTCCACCTTCTGGTCCCTCTCCTGTCCGACGTCATCAACCTCTCCTTGTCCACCGGTTCAGTTCCCACCCTCCTAAAAACAACTGTCATCACCCCCATCTTGAAAAAACCTTCCCTGGACCACCTCTCCAGCTACCGCTCCATCTCTAACCTCCCATTCCTCTCCAAGGTCCTGGACCAAGTCATCACGTCCCAGCTCCGCTCCTTTCTCTCTCGCCATTCCTTCTTTGAACCCCTTCCAATCCGGCTTCGCTGCTGCTCACAGCACAGAAACAGCCCTGGTTAAAGTCACTGATGACATTCTGAACATCTGTGATCAAGGCTCCCTCTGCCTCCTTGTCTTCCTCGACCTCTCTGCCGCCTTCGACACTGTCGACCACTCCACCTCATACACCGCCTCTCCGCTTTACTCAATCTTCGCGGACCTGTCCTTGCCTGGTTTGATTCCTATCTCTCTCATCGCCTTCATTATGTTGCCTCTAACGGTTTCTCCTCCAGCCCCCGCACTGGCATCCCAGGGCTCTGTCCTTGGCCCTCTCCTCTTTAATATCTACATACTCCCCCTGGGTGACATCATCTGCAGGCATGGGGTCAACTTCCATACGTATGCGGATGACACCCAACTCTATCTCTCTGCCTCCACCCTCAACTCCAGGACCACTGCTGTCCTGACAGACTGTCTGTCGGACATCAAGTCCTGGACGAAAGCAAATTTCCTACAGTTGAACATGAACAAGACTGAGACTCTATAACTCACCAAGCCAGTCAGGAACCTAGATGTCTTGTTTGACCCTCGACTTTCTTTTCTCCCCCACATTCAAGCCATGACCCGCTTTGCCTTCCCTCACCTCCATAACATCGCCCGACTCTGCCACTACCTCACCCCTCAGGCCGTTGAAACTCTTGTTCATGCCTTCATCACCTCCAGGCTCGACTATGGAAACGCTCTGCTTGTCGGCCTTCCCAACTCCTCCCTCCACAGGCTGCAGATAATCCAGAACTCTGCAGCCGTGTCCTCTCCCGCATCAAACGCTGTGACCCCATCTCCCACACTCTTGCCCGACTCCATTGCCTCCCTATCCTTCAGAGGGTCCAGTTCAAGATCCTGGTCCTCACATACAAAGCTGTCCATGGCCTTGCCCCACCCTACCTCTTCGACTTCTAATCCTCTACCAACCCGCTCGTTCCCTCCGCTCAGCCAGCTCTGGCCTGCTCCATTACCCTGGACCCACCCGCCCCACCATTGGTGGGATAGCCTTCAGCCACTCTGCCCCCAACCTCTGGAATTCCAGTCACTCCGCATCGCCCCCTCCTTAGCCTCCTTCAAGTCCCGCCTCAAGACCTCCTCTTCGACAGTGCCATCGGCCACCCCCCTTCCCCTCCCCCCCCTCCCCCCCATCCGACCCCAGCTCGAGTCTGAAATGCTTTACTCTGTCCCATGCCTTGAGACGTCCTCCCGACATGAAAGGCGCAATACAAATGTAATCTTGTTGTTGTTGTTATCCAGTGAAGCGCCTTGAGATGTCTTTGATGGTGTGATAAGGTGCTGTGTCAAATGCAAGGATTAATATAAGGGGTCGTGGCTTGTCAACAGTGAGGGGTTTGCACTCTGGAGCTCTGTGAGTTGCAACTGAAGACCACGAGCACAAAGTTGCTGTACAGGTTATTTTGTAATTGGTCTTTCAGGTTATAACGTACCTATAGAAATGCTTAAAAGAGGCCAATGTAAAATCAGTTGAATTTAGACATTTTCAGTAAGACAATGGTTATCATTGTATGAGCTGCTGAAATACCATATCTTTGCTTGTCTTTAACTTTCAATTTTTTCAGGTATTGGGCGAACTTGAAACTTTGGTTCAAACAAAAGATAAGTAAAGAGGAATTTGATCTGGAAGCGAGAAGACTTCTCACACAGGAGAATGGTAAGAGCACATATTCCCGGTCTGTCTCTCAGTCATCTCAGTGGAAAACAGTTTATGAAGCTCTGCAATTGAGAGTAATAGCCAGCTTAATAGAACCACTGGATAATTCCATGTATTTTCTGAAATGAGTATTGCTGGGAGCCTACTTGCTTTTCTGTAGCTTACTATCCACAGACTGATTTGTTTTGGGCTCACACATGAAGAATGGCCACCTGGGTATTTACTGTGTTCTGCTGTTACCTGTCAATCCAGATCTGAACATAATTATTGTGGGACTAGAGGGGAGAAAGACGCAATTATAGCTGATAAATTACTATATAATTCTACAAGTACGTTGTTACTTTATCAACGTGACACTGAAGTTTGGTGGATTTGCACATTGTAATAGTACAGGAGAAAATGATTTTATCTATTGTTTTGCAGTGCATTCCCATAATGACTTCTTGCTCGCTATCCTCACCCGATGTCAGATCATGGTTTCAGCTCCAGGTGAGTTATAAAGCAAAAGTTTAAACAACAGGAGACCCGCACCTTGTTACTTGTGTACATGTGTAAATTTTCACTAACCACCAGTGTTATCGAATCAAATTCTTCCCCACTTTGTATTCAATGCACTCATTTTTTTTGCAATTATTTTCCCACTTAAGTGGATTTTTTTACCTTTCCATATTCTTATTTGTTTATAGGAAAATTCCAAATAAAGCATGCTGTTTCATAAATTTTGTATACGAGAATTTAACTTAGTTATTGGAACCAATGCAAGAATCTTCTATGTTAGTGTGGGAGGCGAAATTTTTTTCCAAGGTTTGCCAGAATCTTCTAGAGATGCTTTCATATTGTGAATTTCTAGCCATATCCATAATTAGATTATTGGCTGAATCTATTATTCCACAGTGGAACAGCTTTGAGCTGAAACAATTTCATTAATAAGTAATATCTTGTCCTCTTCATAAGGAAGTGTTTAAAAATGAAAAAAATAGTTTCCAGCATCATGGCTAACTGATAACTACAAATTACTCAGTCGCTACACTTGACAGTATATCCTGTGATGCGCTTTGAATCGTCTTTTTGACACGAAAGGCGCTGTATCAAATGCAAGGATTTTCTTTATTCTTATTTGGATCCTGTAGACAATCAGATGATGGCATGTCCATTGTGACAGAAGAGTTTATTATGGTTGTTGTAAAATGTTTCTGTTATATGTGGCTTAACAGCTGGAATTTCAAATCTGAAGCTATGTCTTTATTATACAATTTGTCTTCTATGATGTTGGTAACTCTTTGGTACAGCTGTGCTATCATAAGAACATAAGAAATAGGAGCAGAAGTAGGCCATTTGGCCCCTTGAGCCTGCCCGCCATTTAATAAGATCATGGCTGATCTAACCTAATTCCATTTACCCACCCTATTCCCATATCCCTTTATCCTTTTAGTTTTTAAAAATCTATTGATCTCAGTCATTGAACATATTCAAGCATCCACAGCCTTCTGGGGTAGAGAATTCCATAAATTCACTACCCTCTGAGTGAAGAAATGTTTTCTCACCTCAGTTCTAAAAGGCTGACCTTTAATCCTGAAACTATGACCCTAGTTTTAGATTCTCCAACCAGGGGAAGCAGTCTCACACTATCTACCCTGTCAATTGCCTTAAGAATCTTATAGGTTTGTATAAGATCACCTCTAATTCTTCTATATTCTAGAGAATATAGGCCTAGTCTACTCAACCTCTCCTCGTAGGTCAGACCCCCCCATCCCAGGACCTAACCTAGTGAACCTATGTTGCACCCCCTCTAAGGCGAGTATATCCTTTAGATAAGGCGACCAAAATTGCACACAATATTCCAAACTGTATCAAACTGTAACTGAATATTTCACATTCTGGCCCAATAAGAACTGATGAGTAATCATTGTGCAAAAGACTGATCAGATATTTCAAGTGAAGGAATGAATGCATGAGGATACAAGACTTTATTAATCAAAGGTATAAAATATCCTCGCTCTTATTATACATTGTAAATACTGAATCAAATTTAGTGCTAACATTTTTTGATATTTTTATTCCCAAGTAACCTCCTGTCCATTGGGAACTTGATCTAGTTATTCCCCCCCCCCCCACTAAACATAACATTTGACAGGTAACAGATGCTTTGAAGGAGCAGATCTCACTTGTCTGGCCAACGCCTCAAATATTGCGTAAGATGTGGCATCCTAAATTGACAGCATGAAGCCTTACTGCACCTGGATATCTAAATGCCTATGATAGTGTACTGGACTGTTTTACAAACCGTCAATGGGGTAAGATACGAGAATGGATTAGTAACTAGAAATGAGAAGTCTGAGAAAGGGTTTTTTATAGATGCATACAGATTTTTAAATTGGATAGAGTAAGTAAACCTTTAACATATTCTAAATCAACAAGATACAAAGGCAGGATTTTAAAGGACATATTCAAGACAGACACCAGGAAATACACAAATGAAACTTTTGTGATAATGAATCCAATGCTAGCAATTGAATATTAGTCAATGGGGTTCTGCTGTGCCAGACATCAGTTTAGTGTATTTTGTAGATTAAAATGCAGTAATGCATAATTTTACAGAGGAGTGTAAATAAATTAATTTCACATGTAAATAAAATATGTATTCCTGGAACATATCGAGGGATACTTACTTATCCCTAGAAATCATTCTTCTTTAAGGTCTTATATTGAAGAGCGATCCCTCCAGCAGTCTGGAGTCAAACTAGTAGGGGTAAGCTCATTCCTTGTACTTTCTGAAATTTTTAAAATAATATAATTTTGTCACAAATTTCTCCCGCATTCATGCCATGCTCATTCCTAATGGTGGGCTGATCACTTGAAAGCCACTTCTCTCTAATGCCATCTGGAGGCACACGTTAGTAGTGCAGTAAGGGATCCCTTCTCAGGCAGTTTACCTTTCTTCCCCAGATGACTTATTCAAAGAGCAATGAAGCAGATAAGAGAAAGCAATTGAGGGTGTGAGAATTACCATGAAAGAGGGAGAAATGCATATGTTCAACAAAAAATATTTCCTGTCTTCATTTTCATTTTCTTCTCTCCCTTAAACCAGTTAAACAAAGGAAACAAATATTTGCTTCACTCTTTCCTTCATCCTTGGAGTATGATCCAAGCAATATTTTATTAAATTGCTGTTGATATTAACTTGATATTAACACGTTAACCACAATGTTATTACTTTTTGTATGTCATCCATAGGGTGCTTGAATCACTTGCATTCCACTGTTGGACCTGTAGTTTCTTGCTTGAATCATATGATGTATGCTTTAACAGTAAAATGCTTCTAAACCTATTTATACCATTCTGTTGCAGAGGGCGCATCTTCCCTGCTTTGGACCAGTCCATCTGCTGCCAAATCTGGAAAGCCTAAAAGCAAAAAGAAATTTCCCTCTCTGCGGGCAAAGTTTGAAGTAAGTTTCTTTATTTTGAGTAATTTGCTGTTCCTTTCATACCTGCTGTTCTGGAAAGCATTTCTGATCTGACTGTTTCTTTGGCAGTTATATATGTTAGTTTTTTTCTGTTACTCTTGGCATCCTTTGATTATTTCAACACTGCCTGTTCTGCAGCATGGTTGCAGCAAAAACTAGCCTGGTAAGCACACAGTCTATAACCAAAGGTTAAGCAAATATATATAATATTACATGAATCATGTGAAATATGCTTATAACAATTCCTGATTGGAGCCCAAGTATTATTAAAAATGTGTTTTTTCATTTCTAAAATGTTCACTCTTTAATTCAAAAAAAATGAGTTCAGCACAGTAGTTTTCAAACTGTTATAGTTTTATACACCAGCAGTTTGACTTCCTGTTTTATCTTGGGGTGGAAAAAATGAATCACTCACTTATTATTGTGTTTTCTCATTCCTCTATTATAGGAAAATTTAGAGCTTGTTTAAATAAAAAGTGCAAGAATTCTTAAAAATGTAAAACTATGGGGCTTTTTGAATTTAGTTCCGGATTTTAATATTGTTTTCCACATTTAGAAATCCCTTCCCAAGCTGGTTTGAAAATGGCCTTCTATGTATTGTCTAACAAGCTGTTTTTCCCCACTCCTCTAGCATCGTTTTCAGGCACAGAATCCATTAGCAGGGGCACAACAGTTTGTGACAAAGGATCCACAGGAAGAGGATGATCTCAAATTTTGTACTCACACGATGGTCCTACCCACACGAGGACAGCTACATGGTCGGATGATCGTAACCGCTTATGAATGTGGGTTGGACGTCGTATCTGAAGACGCAGTTACAGTTGTGGTGAATGCAGTTGAGGTATTATAATTGTAGCACTTCAGTGATTTAGCCCCAGCTAAATGTATATTCTCACCACTTTTTTTTTAACATCGATCATTTGCCGTGACTTCAATGTTGACCCAATGTTTCAAAGCTCTTGTTCTCTGCTATGTCTGGTGTTTGTTTCATATATGGTGTTTAATTTCTAAAATTTCTTTTGTACAAAAAAATTACCTGAGTTTGTCAATAAGTATTTGTGCAAACAGAATTTGGCTACATAGAGAATGGCATACAATACTGATTGTAATCATTGAAACACTTTCAGATCACTAGAATTACTTTTCAGAGTGCTGAAATTGATTTACATGGGAATTTAAATAACCTGCTTGAAATATTGTATTTTCTGGAAGAAGGTGGGGTATTTTTGTATGTAAATTACAGCTGAGCTCCTCAGTTGAAATTGTTGGATGGGCCTTTAAGCTCTTAACTTGTATGCTTATTCATGTAGAATCACTTGAAGGACATTCTGACTGCTGTGGTGTCCAGGAGGAGAGCATACCGTTTACGTGACGGCCACTTTAAATATGCGTTTGGAAGCAGTATTAATCCTCAGCCATACTTAAAGAACAGTATAATTGCTTACAACAATATTATTGATTGGTAAGTACAGTATTGACAGCATATTACAGCAACAGCAAAGTTACATTTGTAAAGTGCCTTTCATGTCAGGAGGATATCCCAAGGCACTGAACAGTCAGGGATCAGGACCTGAGTGTGGGCTGGGCAGGGTTGGGATGAGGGAGGGCAGAGAGGTAGGAGGGCGGCTGAAGGCATGGTTGAAACAGAGGGTCTTGAGTCATGTCTTGAAGGAGACCAGAGAGGGAGCATGGCGAAGGGATTGTGGGATGGAGTTCCAAAGGGTGGGGGCAGAGAGGCTGAAAGCCTGGCCGCCAAGGTTTGGGCGGGAGACATGGGAGCAGGCCATATCCTGCTGAATGGAGGGAGCAAACAGGTTGATAGGGGTAAGCACGTCTGAGATTGTTTTTTATTTGATAGATATGAAGTAAAGGAGAAGGCCAAACAAAAGGGTGAATTTTTTAAAATTAAGTTAAATTCAACCATCATTTTTATTTATTATTCCTAATATTTGTTTTCCATTTCCAAATTTACTTTCTGAAATTATGGTAAGTTGTGTTTTTTGAGCTGGCCAACACCGTATGGAATGCTGCTGTCAATTGTTTGCAGATCTGAGGGGAAAAACTAAAAATGAGCTGAATTGTCTCCTTTCGATTAAGTTTGACAAGAGGAGACAGAAGTTAGTTAGCATCAAATAGTTTGAGGAAAGGGCTCTAGGTTTAGCTTCATAAATACTTCAGTGGAACAAGCATTTGGTGGTAAAGGAGGAGGACGTTTTTGCGTTGTGTTTTTGTTTTGTTTTTAACCTGTAGCTATGCTTGAATTTGGTCAAATGTCCCTTTTCACTCAGTGTGTTTGGTAGTTGAAGGGAGCACCTTGTCTGACTTAAAACAAAATTATTTACTGTCTTCTGCTCACAGAATTCAAACTAACATTTTTCAGCACTGAAAAATGCCAGCGACCGGTACTGGTATCATAATTACACTTAGCCAGGAATTCTGGCTCACCAGATCGGACTCCCCACTCCCCCCCCCCCCCCCCCACCACCGCCAATCACAATTGGTCCGGAGAGCCGGAGCTTCAGTGTAGTTGGATACTGCTAATCTGAATTACTCGGGTTAACCACAAGAGGGAGCTGATGTGGCATAAATAGTTGAAATGCTGAAATCCCAGAACCACTATCTATTGATATCATTTTATTTCTAATACTGACATTCAGTATTTAGTCACTTCCTCACATGTTGTCCTTCATTGAACAAACAGGAAGTTGATCTAATTCTTTACTCTCTAGCCAGCATTAAAACTCATAGTAGATGATTTGTAATCTCTTTACATAGTAATAGCAAGATTCACTTTGAGAGCGTAAAATATTTAGTTTCGGCACATGGTGCTTTCACATGAAGATGAAACAAAGGATGGTCACCCCTTATTAACAGAAGATGGGGTAAACAATAGATGGGAATTAAACAGTAGATCATACTTTTCCCACACTTCAAAAAAACTGAATTTTCTACTGAGAGTTAATGAACAAATAGGTGCGAACCTTGCTGTAGGTATTACGTAAGGTTGCATTACAAGTTATTATTGATGGTCTCTCAAGTTTGCCGGCAGGGAGATTCCAGATCTACTGATGGTTTCATTGGAAATACTGACTTGTTAACTTTGATCCTCACTAGATTCATCCATGTTGAATTGTAATTTTCGAGGTTTCGCTTGCTGTTTTGTGTTGCATTTTTACATGACTTAAATAGCTTTTTAATAGTTAAGTAATAATTTTCATCTATATAGCACCTTTCTTGGAAAATAAGCATCTCATGTGTTTTTCAGAATAAAATTGATTAGAAATGAAAGAAAATGTCACATAGGCAAGTGTATTAAAGAGGTATGCAAGGGAGCATTGCTTTTTATGGAAAGTGTGTTTTCCATAAAAAGCAATACTCCAGTCTTTATATTGAAACAATATTTTAGTGTTCAGTGCTTTAGTATGTTGTAACCACAATTTTTTGATCCTCGTAATTGATTGCTTAAATTGTTAATGTAGACAGATATGTATCAAACATGTATTATCCTCTGACATAGCCCTCCTGCAGGGTTGTCACTAACCGCAGGGCAGAATCCAGGCTTCCAAATGTCGTTGGATGATGCAGAACAACAGGCAGCTCTTCTTCTAGCCTGTTCCGGTGAAGATACACCAGCTGCTCTACCACCTGTCAACATGTATGACCTTATTGGAACCTTACAGGTAAAGTCAAGATCCTTTCATTGGTTTGTGCATGTTTTGCCCCACAAAGAGCGATCCTGAAAATATCTGCATATCTGAAAAATTCTAACACTCTGTAGGTTATACTGTTGAGTTTTATCACCTAATTTACACACAACGTGGATGGGTGTTGTAATTAATCACCCAACAGAAGCAACATGAGAAGGTTATTGTTGTATTTGTGAGGTGACATGTTTGGCAACAGAATATCTGAACACAGTCCACCCTCTGTGGTGGTCTTGGTCGTCCAGTTTCTGAGCCAACAGGTCCACAGTACTCCAGGGCACTGTTGATGACACCAAAACCAGCTGACTCATTGGCAGGGAATGCTCCCATTAAGCTCTTATTAAACCCAGCCAGCCAGCCAAAGCCCTAATGGATGGGGTGGTCGTAGCAGCGGGAAAGCTTGCCAGGAGTGCCCTCAATGGCAAGCTTGCTGGTTAGACTCCAGCAATATGCAAAAGCACACTCTGGGGCCACCGAGGCGATTTCCTGCCAGACTGCCTCTTGCTAACATCAAATCTTTTCAGAATTGAATAAACAGGATATGCCCTGCAGGGAGAAAGTGGCCATTCCAAAACGATATTTGGAATTTCCATGTGTAGGTGTCAGATGGAATGTTGCCAAGTATACTCAAGTATGATTTATTGGGAAATATCAACCGTAGATAGAGTTCAGCTATGAGTTGGTACAAACTTGAAACACAGGTGTAATTTTTTTTAAGTGAACAGATGGGTGTAACCTATCTCGGCGTATTGCTCAAACGTTTCCTAAGTCAACACCTCATTTGATTTTGTGACACTCATTGTTCTGTCTGACATCAAGAGTTGTAACTATTTATACAGTTGTTTCAAAGTTAACCTGACTGAATCCATTTTGTTAATTTTTTTACCAACCTCTTGCTCTGATTCAATTAACCTCGGTAGATATTTCTTCAGGTTTAACTTAACAATTTGTAACTTTTGTGGTCGAGCTAACCCTGAACTGAGTGTAAAACCCCACATCCCATTCATTATTTGTGTTCCTGCATTACTGCTGCTGCTGCTGAGACCCTCATCGTGTCTTTGTCAAAGTCCTTTTTGTATTCAGGGTATAAACTGCATGCTACATTCGGTGCAATGCTGCCTTATGAAATCAAAGACAGTGTCTCGCACATCCATCAATCTTGTTCTTGTCAGCTTCACTGGCAGATTGTCAGCAGATTCTATTTGCCTCCTGGGTTCCATTTCCTCTGCTCCACCATTTCCTCTGCTTTCCCATCGAAGGCCAAGCCATCAGGTACCATACTGCGGTCTTCAGAACCACTTCCACAGCTTTGCTGTGTCTCAGACTGTCATCTCTTACTTTCTGTCTCCTTGCTTTTAAAAAGCTTTCTGAAGGCCTGTCTTGGCGAGTGTGCTTTTGTCACCCTTAAATTGCACCCTCAACTTGCTCATTGTCCATTGCTCCCATTGTTAAATGCTGTAAGGCATTCTTTTATGTGATATAGATCGAAATTGATGACAAAATTTTGTTCACTATTACATTGGAAATCCTATAAGACAGACTTGCAGAATGTCTGGTGTGGATGAAGGGAAAATGTCACACTACTGCAATAGGTAGTGTGCTCTTCTGGGGTTATAGCTGAGAAATATTACTGGGGCAAAGTTGAGGGAATTGTGTATCGCTGTACCTGTCCTGATGGTGACAGAGTGCCCAAAATGTGAACATGCTCAAATTCCTGGTATTTAAAGTCAAATTGTAAAGCCTTAGTTAGACTATCTTGGATACAGTACTCCTATACTTATTGTGCTTTCTTTTTGTATATAGGTGCACAGAGAGGTCATCCCAGCACACACAGTCTATGCCCTGAATATAGAAAGGATACTGGCCAGACTCTGGCATCCCAGTCATGAAGAGTTAGAGCAGGATAAGATCCATCGTCAGAGGCTGGCAATCAAGGAGGGACTTGTTTGTTGATCCAGATCCACACCAGTCACTGGTGCTTCAAACATGCCTGATTTACATTGCTGTTGAATAAGCTGATGCTGGGGCTAAGCCAGGTTCCCTCTTATCCTTTGTTTTAAAGTAAACAATTGCTGGCTAACATGCACTGCAGTGACCAACACTGGACTGTGGTGTGGTGTGAATGTATAGAAGCAGGCAAAGCACAACTATGCATTTAATTGTGTTAATGTGTTCCAAAGTAAGTACAGTTGTATCTCTTTCCTTTTGTTGACCTGGATCAGAAGGAGCGGTGGGAGGTTGATCTCTTGTTTGAATATTTGTACTTATTGCATATCTACCCAGGGAAGTGGAGCTGAAAAAGTTGTGGGCTCATAGTTAAGATAGAAAACATGAGGTACTTAGAGTTGAAGGTGGAAAGCTATAACTACGCTGTGAAATAATACCATGTAGTAATGTTTATTTTTGTACAGCTGTAAAAAAAAACTGCAACTGATCTGTATTATATTGCTGCAGTATCTGTGCTTTTTACACAACCAAGTACATTTTTTTATTATTTTCTTTACAACACTTTTTTTGTGTGCATATTTACAACTTTATTTTGTAGTACATGTGGGAAAACTTAAGCATCAGTTCAATAAAATGTCATCAATTGATCAACTTTTTTTTAGTATCTTCAGTATGATTCCAAAAAACCTGGTATTTTTTCTCTCTTCCTCTCTGCTTCCATCCCAAAGACGATGGTGGTCTTCCTTGGTGATTGTCGTATTTGGTCGGGTTTTGAGCCTTTCTTTTATAAAACGCCAGCCCGAGATATTTTTTTACATTAGGCTCTGATTTAAGAAGTATGTGCAAACATGGAGAAAGGAATAGAAGGGATTTTGAGGGGTAAAGGCTTGTGGAATATAACTATCAATCAGCATGTTCTTAGTTGTTTCCGTACTGTAGCATTCTATCCAATGATACTAGACCAAAATAAGTATATTCAAAACTCATATCGATGGTTTTTATTGCGGTCAGATGGGTTTGAGCATTCTGTGAAGTACTTTGAGCTGTTTAAACAATGTGTTAAAGTGCTCTATCTTAAATGTAAGATTAACAATATGTTTAAAAGTCTCGAGATCAGACTGGGATTTCCACATATACTAACGGATGGAAATTTTTGGGTGACTGCCAGTGAATATGCACTCTCTTCCTGAAGGGATGCACCCTGTTTTCTAATTCCAGAAAATATTAGTTGTGAAAGCTAAGTCATCACATAGCACTGGCAAGCTTCCTGCTGTTTGTCCAGTTAGGACCTTTTAATTCTTTGGCTTGCATGGTCAACAAGGACCCAAGTGGGAAAAATCCCTGCTCCCATCTGGCATTAAAAGTCCTGGTGACGAGCCAGACAACAATGATGACTTGAATTTATATAGTGTCCTTAATGTAAAATAATGTTTTGGAGCGTTTTACAAAGTCTGTCATCAACAGCACCTTGGAATACTATGGACTCCACAGATAGGTCATTTCTTATATTTTTTCCAATTGTGTCCCAACTTTCCACATGGGTTTAGAGCTGGCAAAAACATCTTTTGACCATCTGCAGATCAATTTGGCCCATGAGAAAAGTGCTTCATGATTTCTTAAAAAACAATGACGAATTACAAGAATTTTTCTTTAAATAGAGTGGGAGAAGAATTTCCATGCAAATTCTCATGTAGGCAAATAACTATTGCAGGATAAACATTCATTATTTATAAGTTGAGTGACAGCTTGGCTCACTCTCACCTATTGAGTCAAAAGGTTGTGGGAACGCTAAATTCAGTGGAGGTCAGAGGTGCCATTTTCTGGATAAAATGTTAAAAATGTGGTCCTATCTGCCTGTTCAGGTAGATATTAAAGATCCCATGGCATTATTCAAAAAGAGAAGAGATTTTCTTAGTGTGCCTGGGCTGTTTGTGGGAAATTGCTATGAGCAAATTGGCTGCTTCGTTTTGCCCATAAAATATCCAGCCAATCCATTTTACAGTGTACAACAACAAAATTCCATTTATAGAGCGCCTTTCACATCAGGAGGACGTCCCAAGGCACTGTACAGTTGGGTCAGGACCCGAGCAGGGGGGAAATGGTCAGGGTGAGGGGAGGGAAAAGGGAGGGAGCGAGGAGGGAGTAGAGAGTCGAGAGGGGAGCTGAAGGCACGGCCTTGAAGGAGGAAAGGGAGGAAGCAAGGCGAAGGCACTGGAGGATAGAGTTCCAGAGCCTAGGGGCTGAGAGGCTGAAGGCCCGGCCACCGATGGTAGGGCGGTTGGGGCAGGGGATGTGGAGCAGACCGGAGCCAGAGGAATGGAGGGTACGGGCAGGTAGGTAGGGGGATAGTAGGTCGGAGAGGTAGGAGGGAGCGAGGCCGTGAATGGCCTTGTAGGTGAGGATGAGGATCTTGAAATCGATCCTCTGGGGGATGGGGAGCCAGTGGAGGCGAGCGAGGGTGGGAGTGATGTGTGTGAAATGCTTTTCCTAAAGTGAGGATGCATCTGCATTTCCAAAAAAATCTTCAATACTGAATACTGGAAGAACCTTCAATACTAAAAATTTAAATTTTCCATTGCTTTACAAGGTGGAACCTGCATTTATATAGTGCCCCTCACACAGGGTAGCGTTCCAGAGACCTTGACAGTGGTGGAGCACGAACCCAGGAGGCGGCAAGGTGGAGGGATAGAGGAAAAATGTTCCAGGGTTTTGGGGCGTAGTGGCTGAAAGTGCGGCCACCGATGGACTGGAGGGCACGAGGGATATGCTGGAGGCTGGAGCCAGTCGAGTGGAGACAGAGGATAGTGGGTTGTGGAGTAGCTGGTCGGAGGGCTAGGCAGGTGCCAGGGCATGAAGGGATTTGAAGACGTGTGAGCATATTGAAATCGATCTGTTTGGCAATAGAGAGACAGTGAAACTTGGCTAGAACGGGTGTGATGGTGTATGCAGTTTGGTATGTGTAAGTATGTGGGCCGCAGAGTTTGGAATCAGCTGGATTCTGCATGCTGGAGCTGGAGATACAGGTGAGAAGGGCATTCGATGAGTTGATGTGGGAGAAAGCGGTCCTGTTCAGGGACCGAATGCGGAGTAGAAAGTACAGTCTTGGGTCGAACCTGACGCCTAGGATGAGTTTCAGTAAGTCTGAGGGATAGATGGGGAGGGAAGATTTTGGAACGTTTGCAATCAGCTCAGTTGACAGGACTTACATTTGTGAAAATTTGTCTTGTGAGTCAGTCCAACCACAACGGGGCCGTAAAAGAAGGAATGGAGTTATTCAGAAATAACACAAAAGGAAATGGTTAATTTGGAAGAAGAAGGCTATTTGGCCCATTTTAATTTCATTCTTCCAGAACAACCACACTACTTTCAGGGCCGGGCAAAACCTTTAGACACGCTTTTTCACTTCACACACTGCTTACCTAGCAATAATTAGGAACCTAGTTGTTAGTCATTTCGCAGTTTGTTTTACGGGCGTAATAATCCCTCTTCTAAAAACAATTTGGTCACTCAATCCACGATTATTTGTGGGACACTGCTGTGTACAATTGGCTGCCGCGTTCCACCCACAAAGTATACAGTCATTCCACTTCACAATATATTCTGTGAAGTGCTTTGAGACATTTAAACAACATGATAAGGTGCTATATCAAATGCAAGGATGATTATATTATTATTATTAAAGTGGAGTACTCAGGCTGGAAAAGCATTCCATCCCCCAGCATGGATCTCCTTCAATAGCAAACAGCATTTCTTCCAACATGACTAAAGTGTTTTTAAGTTTAAAAAGAAACTCAGATGGCTTGCATGATTTTATCCTCAAAGCGAAGTTAAGCAGTTCTGCTCCCAACTAATTTGCTAAAATACTTGTTTGAAATGTTGAACTGATTTCTTTCCACGTACATTTTAAACTTTCATGACATTCAGTTTTATGATTACAAAGAACTTCATCTAAAGGATTAAAGAAATGTTTGCATGCCACAAAGCTAATTTTGGCCACCTCTTTGAAGCACTCTTGCCTCATGCTGCACTTCCCACATTCCTCTTGCACACGCAAATGTGCATGGGATTCATTTCACACTGAAGATGGATTAAAGTATTCAATTGCGTTCCAGAGGTCCGTTGGAGCTTCCATTTTTCAGATGATGATTGGCTTTGTTTTTAAGGAATGGAGTGCATAGGAATGGCAGCCTGACTTCTGACGTTCTGTATTTGTTATTAAGTTCATTTCCACCTGTTCATTAAGTTCATATCTTTGTTAAGTTCAGTATGGAAATGAGGTAACTTACATTTTCACATTATCTCATGTGAAGTGTAGTCATATTATAAAGTGCAGGCCTGGCTCAGTTGGTAGCACTGTCGCCTCTGAGTTAGATTGTTATGAGTTTAAACCCCAAGTCAGACTTGGAATCCATAAAGTATATGCTGGCGCTCCAATGCAGTGCTGGGGGCGAGTGGTCCTGCATTGTCGGATGAGGCGATAAACCAAGGTCCCTCCTGTCTGCATGTTCAACAACAACAACACCAACAAGATTACATTTGTATAACGCCTTTCAAGTCGAGAGGACGTCCCAAGGCGCTGGACAGAGTACAGCATTTCAGACCTGAGCTGGGGTTGGGGGGGTAAGGGAGGGGAGGGGAAGGTGGGCGGTCGATGGCATGGTCGAAGACGAGGGTCTTGAGTGGGGACTTGACGGAGGCTAAGGAGGGGGCGAGGTGGAGTGATTGGGGGATGAAATTCCAGAGGTTGGGGGCAGAGTGGCTGAAGGCTCTCCCGCCAATGGTGGGGCGGGTGGGTCAGGGGATGTTGAGCAGGCCAGAACCAGCTGAGTGGAGGGAATGGGCAGGTTGGTAGGGGGTTAGGAGGTCGCAGAGGTAGGGTGGGGTGAGGCCATGAAGGGTTTTGTATGTGAGGACCAGGATCTTGAACCGGATCCTCTGAAGGAAAGGGAGCCAGTGGAGTCATGCGAGAGTGGGGGAGATGGGGTCACGGAGTGTGGTGCGGGAGAGGACACAAGCTGCAGAGTTCTGGATTATCTGCATTCTGTGGACGTCAAAGATCCCATGACATTCGTGAAAAGAGATAGGAATTTCTCACAGTATGCTGGCCAACAATCCCCCAAGTAAAATTGCTCACTCAAACCTCACTTCATGGCTGTTTGTGGAACATTGCTACACAGTCACATCACTTTACAGTATATTCTGTGAAGTGTTTAGAGATATCTCAGTGGCATGATATGCTATATCAAATGCCAGGGTTGTTATTTAATTTTCACCTGTTGATTGAGTTGAATTTAACCTGTTTATGAAGTTGACTGTTTAATGTACATGTGTGCCCTTACTTTGTAATTTTTAAGAGTAAATGTAATGTAGAAAAAAGAATGTCTGCTTTTGCCACACAGCGGAAGTTTGGGATTAGCCACGAGGGGTTTTGATTAATGAGACTTCTCTCGGAGCTTCTCTCGAAATGACAGGGATGGATTTTCCAATGGATGAAAGACCTTGCAAAATAACCTTCTTGACCTCCCTGGACTCCCACTTAAACTCATTATAACAGATATGCCACAAAGCCCGTCTCTGCACCTATCTCACACCAAATATTAGTGAAATGATAATTCGGTAACCTCCTGCTTAGATTTTTCAAATGC